GGCAGGAGAAGGGATTTGTAGGGCAGGAGAAGGGATTTGTAGGGCAGGAGAAGGGATTTGTAGGGCGCTGAGAGGATGGAGCAGAGCTCGGGAAGGAGGTGGGAATTCAGAAGCGGGAGGAATAACTCCAAAAGGTGGGATGCACTCCCCGGAGAGGCAGCAGGGACCATGTGCCCAGAGTGGGCAACTGCAGAGTGGTCGAAGCAAGGAACCACTTCCTAAATGAGAAAGGGGATCTGGAACAGCACCAAAGGAGGACAAGAGCCTCCCGGTGAGCTCGTGGCACAGGCTGAAGAAGGTTCTGCAGCCTCAGAAGGTCAGAGCATGGCTGGGCTGTGCCCAGTGCCCGGATCAGGGACTAATGAGCTGGGGCTTCAGAGACACCCATGAAATATGAGGCTGTTAAATGTCACGGAGCAGGCACTGGCAGATAAAGACCTGGGAACAGATCCAAGCCATCCCAAAGTCCCACCAGCATTGTTCAAAATTCAACCAGCGTCGAGCTGCAACTGCCACTCTTGTCCCTTCCCAGCCGTGCTCAAAGGACACCTGGAGGAGGATTCCAACCTCAGCAGCTTCTCTGGAGGCCAAAAACAGCTCAGGTCTGCTGGGAGAGCTGCAGGATCCCCCACGGGCTGTGGGTTTGTCTGCTGGGACCACGTACAGGGAACGGCTGGCCCACCCCATGGGGTGCAAGAAGCAGCACAGAGGGTGAAGGGATGAAGGGTGGTTTGATGACCGGTCCAAGGCAGCTCCAGGGGGGTTTATTTGGGTGGAATAGGCTGTTTGCAGGCACTAAATGCCTCTGTGGATCAGCCTGATGGAGTCAGAGCGACAAGGAAGGAGGATCAGCCAAGGGAGAAGGGGAGGGTTGTTCCCTTCCAAAACTCCCTGCATCCATTTGCAGAGTGCCACAGACAGGAGGGTTTCAGGGAAACCTGTTTCGTTTCATGGGTTTGAAAGTTTCGTGTCCAAGCACAAAGACATCAGAAATGCAAATGCAATGTTTTGAGCAACACAAAGAGGTTTTGGCGGCGGCGAAGGAGGTGGGAGGAAGAGAATTTTCTCTTCGAGAACTGCGAAATTATGGGGTTTGTTCCAGTGCAGGATGGAGCCTGAAACCTTGAAACCCCCCATAAACTGAATTCCTGCTCTCAGCACACTTCTCCCTCTCGGGGCTGCTGATGCTGCTTTTTGGACTGAAACTGTCATGTTTCCATCATGCTGCTCGTGTTATGGAATAGACCTGAGAAGGAAAATAAATATTGGCAACTCGGTGGCGAGGGGGGAAGGAAGGAGGGAAGATGGGACATGACAATCTCCCTAGAGCTCAGAGGGAAAAACAGACCTAGGTTAGCTGGCAGTGAGTGAATCAAACTCTATTTTTGCTCTCTAGCCCACGGTGAGCCTCATGGCAGAAATGCCAGCTCTCATCATACCTTGCTCCCCACTTCCATGCTCTGCTTTGTGACTGACTTGAGTGCAGATGGCTGGAGCCAAGGAGCAGACACGCAGCCCTGGTCACAGCCCATCCCACAGACAGGCAGGGAAATCAGCAGGGAGGAAAAGCCAGGTCATTCCAGGGATAACTCCCCTGGGCAGTGCAGGGGATGGAGATGAACTGATGGTTTCCCCCAAGCAAACTCAGAATCCATCAATCACAGAATGCCCTGCGTTGGAATGGACCTTAAAGCTCATCTCATCCCACCCCCTGCCATGGGCAGGGACACCTCCCACCAGCCCAGGTTGTTCCAAGCCCCGTCCAACCTGGCCTTGGACACTCCCAGGGATCCAGGGGCAGCCACAGCTTCTCTGGGCAACCTGGGCCAGGGCCTCACCACCCTCACAGGGGAGAATTTTTCCCCGATACCTAATCTAGCCCTGCCCTCTGTCAGTTTGAATCCATTCCCCCTTCTCCTGTGACTACATCTAAAAAGTGCCTCTCCACCTCCCTTCAGGTATTGGACTTGACTGTTCCCAGTTTTCCTTGGAAGTAGCACTAGAAACACGGGCTGGAAGCCCGAAGCACCAGGTGTTGTTTGAATCACTTTTGGCAAAGCCCACCTTGAGCGAGAAGTTTTTGGCTCCTTGTGAACAACCTCAGAGTTGCTCCCTTCTGCCTTCAGAAGGCTGTCACGGCTCCCTGAGCCGGAGCAGCTCTGACAAAGTGCTGCAGGCTGGGAGGGCCAGCACAGGGCAGGGACAAGACAGAACTGGAGTCATCCCAAGACCGGCATCTCCAGCTGGATTGATGGTCAAGTGGTCCAGGCTGTGGGTGTCAAGCTCGACCTTAAACGAGGTTTTGCCCCCTCCTGGTGTCCAGGCAGAGCTCTATTCCTGCTCTAACTAACGCCAGCTTCGCTTCTCCCCCCAGCCTGGAGGAGTCACAGCCTGCAGCACGAGAGCTCCATCAATCTGGTGAGGCTTGCTGGGGTTTTTTTGGCATTTCTTTGGCACTGTCCAGCAGCCTCCCCAGTTACCCACCCCCCTCGCTCCCTGCCCTTTCTGCACTTCTATGGACCGAGAAAGCTTTGACTGCAGCAGACCTTCACGATGCCCTGGCTCTGCCTGAGCCCAAGCAGAGGAGATGAATCATCTCCAGCACATCACGGGAGAAAGGCCCTTTGCCCTGCAGAGCAGCTCTCAACAAGTTTTCCCTGCAATGCCTCTCCTTTCCCACATCTCTGCTCGAGCCCTCGCTCTCACCGAGTCCTGCTGCAAGAATGAGGCTGCAGCTTCTCATCAAGCAGGAGGTTTTGACTGAAAAGTGGGTTTTCAGTCCCAGACTCTATAGATTACATGATTATTTTTTTTAAGGGTGTTGAAAGAAAAAGAAAGAGTGAGGTTTTGGTGAAGTACCCACTTGCTGCTTCGAGGTCCTTCAATTTACGTGAATTCAAAGCATTTCTGTTTAATCTCTGTATAGAAGAGACTCCTCGAAGAAAAGACACCATTTTTCATCCCTCCCCCACAGCTGGAGCAGAAGAGACAGCAGAGGATGTGGTTTGAAGGGTGAGGCTGTACCTTGGACCAATGCTCAGGATTGTGTCCTCCGGGGGCTTCGCTGGGCTGCGACCCCCAACCCCTCCACAGCAGCCTGTGCTAAACCAGAGGGGGCTTTTAAGCACCCCTGCACATTCTGTAGACAAGAACGACCCTTTCAGTGTCTCAAATCTTTGGTTGCTTCCAGCAGGTTCCCCCAGGATGGGTTGGCACTGGGTTAAGGGATGCACCGTCCAGCCGGGCAGCCCAGCCTTTAAGAGAGCGTGCTGGGCTCAGAGAGAGGGAGGTTAAATCACCTCCTGTTGCACAGCAGAGTCCCAAAACCAACAATTCCCAAATGTACAACACCTGGGGGCTCATGTGGTGGGGAGGGGATGGCAGGAAGGGTGTCCCTGAGCGTGTCCCACCGCTCTCCCCCAGCGTCTGCCGCCCGCCGCCGGCACCGGGCTCAGCAGGTATTTTTTCCCCTCTGACTCAGTGTGACCACCCAAACGGGCTCTGAGTTACCGTGTCCTCCACAGCAAACAGGCACAATTTGGGAGAGAGCAGAAACCGCATGAAAACAACTGAAAACACAAAAAGGGAGGTGGAAAACACAGGGAGTGGGCGTCGGTTTGGGATGGGAGCGATCGGGAGCTCAGCCTTGGCTGGGAGCCCACGTGGGGACCCTGCTGTGCCTTTCCCCTCTTGTTTCTGATAAAGAAAAAGGAATGCAATTTCTTTTCTTTTTTTTTTTCCCCTTTCCTAAGGAAGCGTGTGCAGCAAGAGAAGTTGAAATTACAAATCCCTGCGTGGCTGAACCGAGACCTCCAGCTCCAGCAAACCCTGCAGGCTGTTCCAGCCAGTCAATAACCGAGGGCAGCCACAACCTGCTGCAGCACTTGACACCACTAAAATGTGTTTGGGGACTTGGGGAAAGGCAACAGCAAAAGGCAACCCAGCACTGCTAATAAACGGCCAGGAGGAGAGAGAGAGAGAGAGAGAGAGAGCTGGTACCAAAAAAAAAATAAAAGAGCTTCTAACAACAGCTTTGTAAAGCAGGAAGGGCCACAGGGAGCTGCTCTGGCTCTGGAGTGATGAGCTACAGCTCAGGAAAAAGCTGAGGGAGATCAGAGGGCAGCACCACGCACATGGCCCCTTGCAAGGAGGATATGTCAAAAATTAAGCTGTTCCACCCACAAGATGGGACTTCACCATCCTCAAGAAGACATGGGACAAGTGTTGTCTGTGTCCCCATCCCTGTAACCCCTGCAAACAGGTCTGAAATAATTATTATCCTGCTCCAGAAAGAGCGGAGGGGATGAACAGGCAGCTCCACTCTTGCGTTTCAACAAGGGCTGCCCATTCCTGAGCTCTTGATGGAAACAATTCCCTGCTTCCCAGAAGACAAGAGCACCAAGGCAGAGGTCCCCTTGGCTTCAGACAGAGCTGGGCTGGGGCTCCCCTCCCCTCTCCCAAAAGCACAGAAGGTTTTGAACCTCATTTCTCCCGGGGAGCATCGTGCCCTGCCGCTCTGACCTTCCCGCTCGCTCTCCCGCCGTTAATCAACAGCGGATTTCACCCGGAGAGCTCTAAAGCAGGACAGCAAGGACAGGCAACACATGGATCTTGTCTGGCAGGTGGGGATACTGAGACACAGGACTTTGCTTGAATTTAGATGAGTGAGATTCAGAACACGGAACAGAAACACACCCCAGCCCAGCCCGTGATCCAGCACATCACAGCCCAGCTTTCCAGGAGACGTTGTTCCTGCTCTGCCCCATTTCCCATGCTTAACCTTTCTCCCTTTCTTCCGCAGTCGTCTCCCAATTTTTCATTACTTTTATCTTCCCCTCTTCAACCGCTCCCCCTTTTTTTTTACAGCCCCTCCTCTCCACCTCCACCCTGCTGTGCCAGGCAGCAGCCAGCTCCGGAGAGGTGCTCCCCAGCACCTCAACCTCGCGTCGCCAAAACCCAGCGCATTCCACCCAATGTAAAAAACGTATTTAGGGACCTACCAGTCCACCTGGACTTCTATATCCCTTGTCTCTACCTTGGAGGGCGCATCTCCATCGCTGCCCTTACTGCTGCTCTTCAGGAGATCCAGGACGGGCTCGATCTCTTTGAGCAGCTCGTTGTCCTCCACGCCGCCGTTGAGGCACGGGTGGCCACAAGCCCCCTCCTTGCCCTTCCCGGCGTCCTGCCCTTTGCCGCCGGTAACGACGCCGTTAACGTGGACCATCGGCTCCCCCTCCCTCCCGATCTCTCTGGTCCACAGGGAGCCCATGGCGCGCTCGGGCTGCGGCTGCTCTTTGCCGTGCGGGCTTGGGTTGGACAAGTCAACAGCCCTCGGAGCCGGGCAGAGGGGTCTGGTGACGCGGACGGTTTTGGGTGTCCCGTCGCCCGCGAAGGTGGTCTCCAGGTGAGTGGTGAAGCCCTCGGGGCCCCGCAGGATGAGGACCACGTAGGTCTCGGAGGCGATGCTTCTCAGGATCTCCAGCGCCGTCTCATAGCTCATGTCCACCAGGGGCCTGCCATTGACGGCCAAGATGATGTCCCCAGCCTGGATGAGGCCGCTCTGCTCCGCAGCCCCTCCCCGGATCAGGTCGGAGATGATGACGGGCGGTTTGCTGACGCGCTCCTTCACCAGGAAGCCGAGGCCGCCCACCTTGCGCTTGAAGAGCCTCACCGAGATGACGTTGGGCTGTATCTGCTGCACGCTGAACACATTCTCTTCCATGGCAGCCCCTCCTCGAGCCTGCAGACCAGGACCTCGACACCCGCTGAGCGCAGAGAGATCCGCCGTCGGAGATGCTCGTCCTCGCCGGGGCGGGGAAGGGGCAACTCTGGCTCTTTGGGAACTGCTCTTAACTGGGAAACTTCTCAGGGCTTCGGCTGCGGGGCTTTCTGCGGCATGCTCGGTGTCACCACGCTCTGAAACACCCGGGGAAGGGCAGGGGGTGTCACGGGTGGGAAGCAAGGCTAGGGACAGGACAGGCAGGGCAGGCAGGGCAGGCAGGGCTGGGCATCGCGTGGCCAAGCAGGGGCTGGAGGGGACAACATGCCAGCTTCCAGTCAGCCTCTGGTCCTGCGCTGGGCAGAGAGGGGGAGGCAGCCCGCTCGCTTCACCGGCATCCCCGCAGACCGTCCACGAGCTTCTTTATCTGGAAAGGAAGGGGGAAAAAAAAAACAAACCAACAAAGGAGAAAGAAAAGTGAGACAGGGCAGGCGTAAGTGCCTGCTCAGCACGGGGCTCGGCACGCCACAGGCACCCACATGCATCAGCCCGTCCCCACAGATGTCACCCCCCGGGCTGCGTTTGGGAGACAGGCTGCAGCCTCCCATCGCTCCGGGCTTTGTTTCCTCCTTTCCCCCCCCCCCCCCCCGGGTTTTTTTCCCCCCCCCCCCCCCCCCCCCCCCGCGAAAATCGGCGCCATCTGTTCGGCGGGGGCCGGGAAGGCGCGGGGGGAGCGGGGGAGCCCTGGCAAGGGGCTTCGCCCAGGGGTTGCCAGAGAACGCCCGGCAGGTCTGGGGAAGGGGCAGAGCCGCTCGGAGCTCGGCGGCGATTTCTGCCGGCGGAGGATCCTGTCTCCATGTGTTTTCCAGAGCATCCAACAACCTGATGGTCGAGAACCAGACAGGGGACGTACATCCCTGCCCAGGAGGAAACCCGCTCCGTAGGTGCTGTCACAGCGAGTCGGTCTCGATGCTCCGGGAGCAGCAGCCACGAGCAGAGCGAGGCAGGAGAAGAGGACACTCAGCCCCCTTCCCCCGAGTTGGGAACTTGCAAAGGCAACTGCTTTTAAGCCTGGCTCCAGGGATCATCGCCTCAGCTCCTCCTCTCCGCATATTTCAAGCCTGGCACGGGGATGAGGGAGGCAACGCTCGCACTCCCCCGTGCCCAGCCCTGCCATCCGGCTCTGAACTGTTCCCACACAAACTGCTTTGGCTGATGGCGAACCATCTCCAGGAGAACACGCAGTGAGTTTTCCTGGCTCTCGGGGGAGCCTCATGCAGCTGGGCATGACTGTCTACAGCCCTCAGCTGGCTCGGGGAGCCACGTCTCATTGACTCCTGATGGGACCCTTGTTCTTACATGCCCAGGCTTGCGTTCAGAAACTTCTGCTCCCAGACCCTCTCTGCCTTCCCCGCCCTTTCCTCAGATGCTCTGGAGAACATTCCTCTCCAGGACTGCGCCCTGACATTTTGCAGCAAACTGAAATGCAGGCACCTTCTTTTCACTTTTAAATCTGGGTTTTGGGGAGAGAACAGAGGGCACTTGATCTGCAGGCTGGAGGCACTAACACGACGAGGAAAACACTCTCCTGTCTCCCCATACTCAGGGCAGCGTTTGCACCTTCAGACATGGAGCACCAAGTCCCCTCTGCCAGGAGCTCCCTCGGCACCCAGATGGGAAAAACAGGGATCTGAGGAGCAGCCAGTGACACCAGTCCTGGCATTAACTCAGGCATTTTAATCCTCATGTGATGAAGGCTGCTGACCCCAGACTGCACTTTTTACAAGCGAGTTAAGAATAAAACAATTAAATATGTACAACCCAAGCCAATGGGTTTAACCCCTGTGGCCCTTCCCCTGCTGTGACTCGGCCCTGCAGAGCAGCAGCAACGTGCAAAGGGTTAAATGCCACCCAGTAGGCCAGTGGGCATTCACATCCTCAAGGGCTAATTAACCCCGGGGACATAAGCACTAATTGCTGGGTGACTTCCTGCAAGTGACCCCGGCCAGAGGCCACTGGAGCTGGACCAACGAGGCCGTGATGGGCTGTGCCACCTCCCAGGGCTCGGGGCAGCAGAGCAGGGTGTCTGCTCCAGATCCTCAGGCCACCTGGGGAGGGAAGATCCCGGTTTTGGGGAGGTTGGAGGGAAGCAGAGATCTGCTTCCACCGGGAAGGTTCTGTCCCTTTCCCTCCTTCCCAGCCCATCCATCCAGAGCCCGCTTTCACCGGCAGGACCCCGGCCAACTCTTCCCTCTTCTTCTCAGGCATTTTGGTGCCAGTGCTGAACCACAGGACCAGCTTCCTTCTCCCTGCCAGGGTGTGTCTTTTCCTGGTCCCTGCATCCCCAGCCCCTCCACTGGTGCCCGTACAAGCGCAGTGACCGTCACCCTGACGCCCAGGCAGGGCACTGAGTCACACAGGACTCATTTCTAACGTCCTGGCTGACGCTGTAGGACGAGCGTGGCTCTGAAAGCAGCACAAGTGCCACGGGAGCGTGGCACTGCCAGCTCTCTTCAAGGGGACAGCCCTGTTATTTGCTGGGGATTAGTCACGGGCAGCAGCGCTCGCGGGCTCCTCGCCGCCGCTGGAGTCGGTGTTCGTGTCCTGCCCATCTCAGCGGGGCCAAGGCCATCTCGGGGACTGCCTGGCACGAGTCCCTGTCACTGCTGGGCATCCCCAGCAGCTCACACAGGCAGATGTTCAACAGCTGGAGGAGACCCTTCAGCCCAGCTCGACCTTCCCGCGGTGCCCGCAGGGCAGCACGGCCACGTCGAGCTCACTGGGCAGGCCTGAGAAACCCCAAAGTGTTTATTCCCTCACTCTTCTCCCACCAGGCTGATTTCCAGTTATTTCCACCGAAAGGCTCATCATTTGTTGTGTGTATTCAGCTCCAGCCTGCAAGATCCCGGGGGACAACATCATTTCTGAGTGCACAGCATTCCCCATCCCCGAAACCCAGGGACACCTCGGCATTCCTTGCAAGAGGGACAAGGAGACAAAAGGAGATTCTGGGTGATACCCCAACACCCAGCCAGGGCTTTCTCCCAGATGAGGGTGAGTGTGTCCCCTACAGACAGAGGGTGTCTTGCTCCCAGACCTTGCACTCTCCCACCTGTGATTGTGGGATCCCACTGGGGACTGGCTGGAAAACAGGGAATGACATTATGTGCCTGCTCATGAGTTTTTCCCCCTTCTCAAGCCCTTCCTTTCCTTTTTCTCCGCAGCTCCTCAGAGTCAGGAGGGTCAGAAAAGAGGCAGAAAGCAGAGGGGCAGGCCAGGAGAGTGAGGGCAACCTGTCTCTAAGCCCCTGAGCCTTCTGCTCCTTTGGGAAGAGCCGGACAAGCATTTTCATAGAATTATGGCGTCATTTAGGTTGGATAACAACTTTAAAATCATGGAGTCTGACGGTTCCTCAGCTCTGAAGTCTTGCACAAACTCAGAGTGAAGTTGGGAGGGAGAGGGAGCAGGTCAGGGCAGCAGGAGACACCTGGGAGAGCTCGAAAGGCTCCCCCAAACACCCAGTGAGGGCCAGGGCTCCCCCCTGCCCAGCTCCTGGGGTGTCCCAGGAGGTCTGATCCCACATTTCAGATGGAACCTGACTGATTCAGCCCCCGTGAAGTGACAGGGAGACGGCAGCTGGGCTCGGCTCTGAGAGCTCAGCTCTCCCTCCCAGCACCCTTGGGAGTGTGATTTATGAACCCAAGAGCTGCAGGACATTTGCCAGGTTGTACATTTAAAGCTACCGGTGGTGTGTCATGTCAAACTCCTCAAAACCAGTGAGAAGGGGGTTTCACTGGGGTGGAAACTCTTCTTTCACCCCCGAAAGGGAGCCAGGAGTGGCCACTGCTGTGAGCAAAGCCGGGCTCAGCTCCCTGCTGGAATAAACACCCACAGACAGTGCCAGCCCACTCCCTGCCTCAGTCTCCCTTCCCTTTCCGACACATAAACCCAACTCAAACCACAACAGACCCTGCAGACGTGCAAACTTGTAGCACCCCAGACAAGTGTTAACTCGGATCCCGACACCAATCCCCGGTAACATCCCTCCCTTTGGAGGCTTTAATGAGCCTAAGGAAGAGCAGCAAACAGGCTCCCCTTCGACAGCGACGAAAGCATTCGCTCCACAAACAACTCCCACCCCAAAAAAAGAAGAAAAAAAAAAAAGCAATAACAAAAAGCTTCTCAAGTTGCCAGATAACATTTCGAGCACCAAACTCCAGCACACATGTTAATTGGATGATTTGATTTCAGAAGCAGAGCGGAGGAGAACTCAATCTTCAGGAGCTTAACACAATCTCTTAACTCTGCCAGGCAGCAGCCGCGGGCTGGGGAGAGCTGGGACGTGCCCAACTCCAGCCCTCCGGCGTGGGCACTCGGGCTGCCCTTGGCCTCACAAATGGATTTTGAGCCTTGCCTTCGCCACGATAATAGCTCGTGGTTCTGCGTGCCAGCTTCAAATGGGCACCATTGTCCTACTTAATTAGTTTTCGTGGGATTTATGGCGCTCGGGGAAGAGCCCCGGCGCTGATGGATTTATGCCCGTTTAATTTTTACGACCCACGGAGCGTCAGTGGATGGGATGAGGAGCACTGGGATGCAACATATGCACAGTTACTGTAAACCTGCGTGTTTGTGCCTCTGAAAATGGAGCATTAAAGTGATTCACTGGCAGGCAGCTCGCCCGTGCCAGCAGTTCCGCGCTCGATTCCCGCTCGGCTCCGGCCGACGGCGCGGCGTGTCTGTGTACACGGCCTTTTAATCCTGGGAATATATAGACAATGTTCCTTCAGCCATCTCTAATTATCCACCTCCCACCGACCTTGCCAAAATCCACCCAGGAAGGAGCGAGACCTTTTCCCTTCACAGCCAAACGCCCGCCCTGCTTCTCCCTTCCCATCCCCAGCGCGCCTGGCTGGGAGGTCACTGTTTCACCGGGGCCACGACGCCTTCTTTGCCCCCTATAAATCCGATTTACACACAGGAGTGGATGAAATGTGGCGCTTTGCCATCTGTATGACACCCTTATGCCAGTGCCCAGCCATGGTGCAGAGCTGCCGGACCCCTCCCCGCAGCCACGGACACCGGCGGGCTCGGGAAGGATGGTGCCAAAGGGATGAAGTGCCAAGGACTCAGCCCTGGAGATGCACTCACCTGCTCCATGTCAGCAGGGCTGTCTGCACTCAAAACATGCCTATTCCTGGCAAAAGAGCAGTTAATAAAATAAATATTTGCTTTCTGATATCAGTAAATCCATGCCCAGTCCCCAGGAGGGTCCATTTGCCTCTACTCAGGGGGTTGTTTTCTGGAAAGCAAACCAACATCTGATTGCTCACAACCATATTGTTGGGATACAGCTGCCCCAAAGCCCCGTGACCTGCACATTTATCCAACTCCTGGCACTCAGTTTGGTGTTCATCCCCTCCCCAGGGAATTAAACAGCCAAGGAAAGCCTGGTCCTGCCAGCACGAGCAGCCACTGGCACATCTTCTAGGCGGTTGAACTGATCCTTGTGGATCCCTCCCAGCTGAAATACTCCATCCTATCCCATCCCAGTCAGACCAGCGTCTTCCACACTCCTAATCACGGAGTATTAGAGGGAGCAGAACCCTACTAAAACTTTATTTCCATTTAATGAAGCCCCTCATCCCTCTCCCCTTCACCCCCTCTGACACGAACCGCCCCTCTCCGAGCCAACCACAGCAATACATTTTAATGTTGCCAAGACAACTGTGTTGACAAAATTCCCTTCCTTCTTTTTTTTTTTTTTTTTGTTCTTTCTTCTTTTTAAGCTGACAGAAACAGGGTTTTCTTGTAATTTGGAGTCCAAGGCTAAGCATATTTCAGCACCACGCCTGCCATTTCTCTTTGACTCTTCCCGTGCGATATTTTCTCGGCGCCCGCGGTGCGCGGCTCAGATAAAACCATCAGTTCTGCTGCTCCCCCCACCACCACCTACAACTGATGTTCTTATTAGGGCTCGGTCCATCTGTAAAACATAAATTTCCCCACCATCCGTTTGC